AACATTCAGATTCCCCAGGGGCTTAAAGTTATCTTGATAGCACTCAGTCAGCCCAAAGCAGCTATTCTCTACAAAATACTCCACTGGAGCATCCCAGCTGGGATAGGACCCTCCATGAGCTAGATGCCCCCTGCAGCCAGAGTTTTGGCACTATTGTCTGAACTGCCGCCACAAATAGAACATCCATACTTTGTAATATCCTATGTGACATGAGCTGGGGAACTCCAACTCCTACATAACAGAACCGCCATCATCATTGACAATAAGGGCCATCTCCGCAAAGAAGCCAAGGTGTGAATGGGCCATTAAAATTCCCCCCAACTTCTCGTTCCTGATTCATTAGTCAATAATTGTAAAGCATTTTGGAGATTCAAAGTGCTGTAATTGCTACATGCTGTATTTATTAAGAGGCACTGTCCCTTCAGGGCAGGGTTGAGGCACATGGTGATGGTAGTGTATGAGGAAAAAGTTCACACTGCTTTGCCCATGTGGCATGCCCATTCTGGGAACACCTGGAGGACTTCAGTATCCAAACTTTAATCCAGCATCTCTCATCAGAAGAAAAATTAATTAAAAAAAAAATTCCAAACCGTCTTTCAGCACCAACGGCGGGAACAATTTTGTTATTTACATTTGTCTGGAAAAGAACATTTCCCTACTGGCCAGGTTGCTGGTAAATGAATGGTGTGGGGTACAGACGAAATGGATCACGGGCTAGGTGTGGGGAAAGCACGTTCCTTATTATTTCAATGTAGGTCCAGGGAAGCAAAGCTCGTCCCTGGCCCTCTAACGCAGACCTGAGGTTTTCATTTACACTGACTTTAATTTGCATTTCTACCTTTCTTAAATCCAGCCTTGGCAATCACACCAGGTAAGGGAATTTAGGTAGGTTTGTGGGTGCAGAACAGAACTCTTGTGTCCTAGTGCTAGCCACTGTGTGTTACTAGAGAGACAAGGTGGGTGAGGTAATACCTTTTATTGGACCAACTTCTCTTGCTCTTCTTCAGGTCTGTGTAAGCTTGAAAGCTTGTCTCTCTCACCAACAGAAGTTGGTCCTATAAAAGATATTACCTCACCCACCATGTCTCTCTAATACCCTGGCACCAACAGAGCTAAAACAACCCTCCATACAACTATGTGTTACTATCATTTGTGTAAGTAGCAGAACAGGAAAGATTTGGACGGGAAGGCTAGGTGGACTATAGCACCTCTAAATCGAATAGTATTTTATCTAGATGCTCTCTACTCCTTAAAATGATTCAGTTTGAGGGATGTTCCTATGCAAGATAAAAATTGTCCCTCGCTCTGCCAATTCAAAGTTTTGAATATCTCCCAGTAGCCAGTGCCTCAGCTGCTCATCTCAGTTGTCCATCTTGCTGTTTTATTGCTTCTCTCTTTTCAGACAGTAAGAATGTCTTTCCCCCCAGCCAGCTGCTTTGTCTTGTTTTGTTACACTTTTAGTTGGAGGCAGTGTCTTCTGACTCTATTGTTATTTCTGGGCAGAATGAAAATAATTCTCCATCCCTTCTTCCCATTTCTTTCCTGTATAATGCTCCTATCCTTGAATTTTTCTGCTGGTTTAGATGTGTGTGATTCATGTCCAAATATTGATTTCCCTTATCTACCCTCATATTCCATCTCTGATGTACATAGTCACTGGAAATTTGGCACTGTTTGGGTTACTGTGGCTAATGTGTTGCCATTCACATAGTAGTATTAGCTACTGTTGATCCTTCCAGATATTTGGGATTTTTTTTAACTGTGTTAAGACTACAGTCCTCCTCTCCCATTTTTCCTTCTCTCCAGGCCTTGTTTGTGGTTTAAAAGAAACCTAACTTGGCAGCCCACTTTCAGCTGATTAAAATGGTATGAAGCGTATAATCATCCTCATTTGCCTGACTGGAGGATCGTGCATGGCCGCAGACACAGTCCAATCAATTTTTGTGCAGCCCCACAAATCCCATGCTTTCTTTCAGAATCTTTAATTTTGCAGCACACTTGAGAGCTATAGAAAGGAGACTTCTTTGCTCATTCAACTTAATTTTTCGTCAGTCCTAGTAAGCGTGCATTTCCATTACCATTACCCCTTAGTTCCAGTGGAGGCTATATTATAATAACCTTTTGTACTCACTGTGTATGCTTTTTATTCTAAAATCTCCAAGTGCTTTACAAAGGTGGGTAAATATTAATACCCCCATTTGACAGATGAGGAAACTGAGGCACACAGCAGTGAAATGGCTTGTCTAAGGACATGCGGTAGCCAGGCTGAGAAGAGAACGCAGTACCTTGACTCCTGATCTTGTTCTTTAACAACTAGACAATACTGCCTTATTTTACATTTTATATTGGAACTTTCATTTCAAATATTTTTTAAAAATGTATTAGGCATACATACAAATACAGATAGAATCTGCAGTGACAGTAGCTAGGCTAAACATCACAAGGGCTATTCCCCTCATAATTCAGGGCATAAACTGATCCCCCATGATATAGCTCGAGGAACATTCCAGTGTTTGATGCCTTCTTTAAATATTTCTGACTTTGGGGTCACTGATGGAGATGGGTTATCGGGCTAGATGGACCAACGTCTGTTCTGGTACAGCTATTGCTGTGTTCTCATTACAGCAGATGGGTAGCTGGGAGCGGGATGCATATTTTTGTTATGGCTCTAGCCCAGCTCCTTGTCTCTGAAGCAGAGTCACTGTAAACACTGTTTCTAGAAGGATGTTAAAAATAAATGAGCGAGAGAGAATGATTTTGAAAGAGTCTGATTTTTGGGGGGAAGGGGGATTAAACTTTTTTTTTTAATTATTCTGCAGAGTAGAGGCCCATGCTGTGCACCACGTAACTACTGTCTAACTAGAGGCAGTTAACTTCCGAGGAACAGGTTTGTTAAGAATGGCAAAATTATGAGGGTATTGACCTATGAAGGTTAACTCTAAGAAATGTTATGTGATGAGAGGAAATGACCATAATGCCTAAAGTCCAAACTGAAAACCTGGTTTCACTCTCTTAGGGCTGTATAGATGTGTCTCCCCCGCACCTTGCGCCCCAGTGTCTTGGGCCTCTCGGCCGCACAATGAACCCCCTGCAGCCCTGCTGTCAGCACTGCCCCAACCCTACCTCCCATAACTGTAAAAATAAAAATGGGGGGGGGGGTATTTAAAATTGTCAAAATTAGAAAAAAATAAAAATCAAATTCTGCTAAGCCTAATAATAATCACTAGAGAAGCCATTTTGAGCTGGAGGATTCCCTCTGTCTCCACACTGTTGAAGAGCTTTTATAGTTTTATGCACTTTCCCAAGACTTATGGGGACATTTGGAGAGGTACCATAGTGGTAACCAAAGTTTTAGCTCTTTTAGGTACATTGTGAGTTCATCAGGTAGGATCTGGTCAGTCCTTGAATGAGGAAAGATCCAAGGAAACCCCAGCATTTCAGGAAACAGTGTTAATGATTTTGTGTAGTTGGCACATTTTCCTCCAAGTCACTACTGGACTGATTGCCCAAGCATCTTTCCTTCAAATGAGGGATAGAACTGAAGGTCACCCTATTATTATCAAATATCCCTTAGCCCTGTACATAAGAATTAAAGTGTTAATCCGTTTTCCTGGACAGATTTCAATTTAAATAATTACATTCTGGGTATCTAAATTTTAGTTTTATATGGGCATTTGTTACTTCTGCTGTGTGCTGCTAAAGAGCTGCTGTGTTCCACCCCAGGTAAAATGATATGTGCACAGAGGGGAAAAGAGGTCCCATGCAGGGTGCAACTAATGGTCTGCCAGTCACTTGCAGCCTCAGAGCGGGTGTTTTGAGGTGGAGGTAGTGGTCAGGGGACATGGCCAACATGTTGTAGCATGTATGCTGCCTGTCTCAGCTGCCCTACATCTTGGTCAGGTTACTTTTAGCAGGAATAATCTTGCATAAGAGGTATTGGGAGGGTACTATTCCATGTAGGGCTGACAGGCAGCATTTGTGTGGACATTTTTCCTAAGTTTGCAGCCCATCAGTGCCACAAAAATATGTAGGGCCTGAATTTAATCCATAATTTGTAAAAACGCTTTGGGGTCTGTCAGGATGAAAGGTGATTTTTCTATTATTATTACTTTATTTATTATTGCTATATCAACCCACTCGCCTCTGGATTTTTATTTAAAATGGTTTCTTTAGATTTGAGGCAGAAGGGGATTCTTACAAGGATGTTTTCTCACTCAGTGTGAACAACAGCTGAGCCCACATTTTCAAAATTGGCCACTAATTTGGGGTATCTCACGTTTTGGTGACCAGCCTTAAACACTTTGGGCTGATTTTCAGAAGGTCTGAGCACCTGCAGTTCACACTGACCATCTGGAATGGTGGTGCTCAACACTTGGGCAAAGTCCAAGTTGTCTCAGGTGGAGCAACTCAGAAATATGGTACCCAGAGTCAGTGCTTTTAGAGCTTTTGGCTTTGATATATGCTGCACAGATTGTTTATAAAAACTAATTTGAAATAGCTTCAGATTTTAAAAAATGCCTGCAAGATAATCACTTATAGCATGTTATACATGATATGGAAATTGACCATTGCACCTTTCCATATCTTGTGGCAGATAGATTAGGTGAGGGTGGAAGAAATGGCATTAGAAAATAGGAGAATTGAGACCAATGTACAGTAAGAGTAGGTTATTTTTTTTTCTTCTAGAATGCAGAAGTGCAATACTGTAGATGTTTTTAGATTTATTGCCTTTGGATGAAATTCACTCTGGTGTCAGGAACCAACATAAGTTCTATTTGCCACTGAAGTACCACTAAATCCTATTTTGAAGGTTGAAATGTCACTTAAATGGCCCATGGCCCTTGTGCTCGTTCAATGCAGAAGGGTGAATTTCACCCTAGCAGCATTTCTAAGACTCACTGCTAGTCTGTTCAGAGAGCCACTTGTTTGCGGTGTTGTTGTAGTTGTGATGGTCCCACGATATTAGCGAGACAGGGTGAGTGAGATAATATATTTTATTGGACCAACTTCTGTTGGTAAAAGAGACAAACTTTTGAGCTTACACAGCGCTCTTCTTCAGAGAGTCACTGGCAGCTATCCTGCTGCAGAGACCTTACCACATTTGCGATGCATCTTGAAAGGTACAGGCTGTTCAGCTTCTAAAGTTTGCAGCTCCTGAGGCTCCTTCCTGCAGACTTTGTAAAGTAGATGAGATAGGGCCATCTGGTGGTGTGAAGTCAAATAGTTTCCCATACTGGATTTTCCTTTTTCTTTCAAAAACTCGTAAGAAATTCTATTTAAAAAAAAATGTTATATGAAAAGAGTGTTAGGCATTCAAACGTCAGGAAATAGTAACGAGAACTTTAACCTCTTGTTCATATGCTGTATAATAGCATGTAATTGTGTCATTGAAGGCTAGTGGTTTGAGCATTGGCCTGCTAAACCCAGGGTTGTGAGTTCAATCTTTGAGGGGGCCACTTAGGGATCTGGGGCATAATCAGTACTTGGTCCTGCTAGTGAAGGCAGGGGGCTGGACTCGATGACCTTTCAAGGTCCCTTCCAGTTCTAGGAGATAGGATATCTCCATTAATTTATTTATTTATTTATTTATAACATCATACCAGTGTTTTACAGCCTTGTAAAGTGCATCTCATAAGGTGCACACTGAAAAGAACACTTGCCTCATTTATTGATCATCTTATATATAAATAACTTTCAGGGACTCTATTTTTTTAATTTATTATTTTTATTACAGCAGTGTCTATGGACTGATCAAGAATGGGGCTCCAGTGTGCTCGGCACTGAGCAAACACAGGGGCAAATCTTCAGCTGTTGTGAAGTGTCATTGCTCCATTGAGCTAGCCCCATAGAGTAGTGGACAGTCCCTGTCCCAAAGAGCTTGCTATCTAAATAGACAAGACTAACACAGGGGAGGGGATAGGGATAGACCACAAAAGTAGAATCAGTAGTGTGATGGGCTGCAAATGTCCGGTTAATTCCATGATTTGCTTTGTTTTTAATGTTTTTGTTTGGGAGGGTTGTTCGGAGGGGACTTTGGCAAACACAAAGTAGTGGAAGATGCTACGCATAAGTGATAAAAAAATGTATGATGTTTTGTTGCATTATTTGAGAACTAGTGTATGATCACCTAACTATATTGCAATTCATATGCACAAGTCACTAAAATTAAGGTCCCACGTGGTGAACATGTGGACAAAGACTGAATAAATGGGTTTTGCTCATATAACTGAGGGAGCTGTGGGGATGGAAACCTTACCCTATAAAGGAACTAACGCTCAGGACATGCATACAGCTGGGTCACATCAGGCTATTGCTGAGTATGTGGTAAGGTAGCAGACGTGATTCTTTGTCCTTGTGGATTTGTTCTATGGGTGTCTCTGTTGGTCATTTTCCCCCAACACACCCATTTTTGCCCCCTAAGTGTTGCCTGTGCGTTCTCATGCAAGGTGCACGTGGCTGTGTGGAGTTCCCCTCTGGGGAGACTCCACCGGTTTAATCACCAGCATGATGGAAATGCAGAGTTCCCACTGCTTTAAGGCCTTTATGTGCCTGTTGGATTTATTAGTATGGCTGTGTGTTTCTCTAATTGTGATAACCTATTGGAATTGGATTTACATCTCATTCCACTAAAGCCAATACAAGCATAGTCTTGTTGGCTGGTCTGCATTAACAATGAATTAATGTTTCTTGCTGCCACCCAAATAAATAAAAGAATATAATTTTTAGACTTTCTGAACCTGAGCTGAATGTGCCCTTTTACCAGCTTTATTTAATAGGATGCAGTCATCTTAAATTAAGCCCAATGTTTAGATGTGGGGAAAGTGGAGAATATGAAACTTAATATCAGAAGGAATGGCATGAACGTATATTTTAATTTCAATTAAAACCATTTTATTTTTGGATTTAAATATCCCCCTGCAGCACTGTGAACCCAAACAACAGCATTGGGCAAAAATGATTATAGCCAGAGTAGAGACGACCCGGCTAGTTCACTGAGCTGGTTTAATGAAATGCAGATTAAATAAACTGCAGGATTGATTGCGGGGGGGGGGACGGGGGACGGGACAGTAAGACTTTTAACGATATTTAAGTCTTAACAACCAGAGATGATATTAGTTACCAGGAGATTTTAAAAATAACAATGTCTATCTTGACAGTGACCTTTGCCCATATAGCATGCTGCAAGTCTATTCCAGTGTCCCTGCAACCATTGCTGCCGGCACAAATACATTCTAAACTCTGTGCAAAAATTGATGTGGCTGTTTCTAGCCTGAGGCAGGATGCCAGGGTTCTGTCCAATTCTCACCACCCTTGCCCTGCCCGATCTGTTTGCGATCTAATCTCTTGGAGAATGAGTCCATGGATTTCCATTGAGGAGTTATTCTTCCCAATAATATTTTCCTTCTCTTCTTGTGACATATCCTTGATTAGACTCAAATAGGTATCTTTTTCCACTCACCTCCTCCACCCTTTGAAATTATTTCCTATGCAGCATTTCAACAAATTCTTTATCTCCACCTTATCTATTACTTTTTAAAATTGGTACACATTCAATTTTTTTACCAGAATTTCAAACCTGGGGGCCTAAAGTTAGATTCCTAAACCCATATTTAGGCACCTGGATAAAAGTGACCTTGATTTTTCAAAGGTGTTGAATGCCCACGGCTCCAGTGGACATCAGTGTGAGCTGCAGGGGGTCAGCACCTCAGGAAATCAAGCCACTTTGTTTTAGGAGTCTAACTATGAATGTAGGAGTCTAAATTTAGGTCAGATTTGGAAAAAAATTGGCCTTTATCCTTTCCTCAAGGGTCTTTAAATAGATTCCCATTGAATGTTCAGTTGGGACCAGATTTCAATGGGAGTTAGATGCCTAAACACCTTGGAGGATCAGGCCATAATGCCTGTATTCCTGACCATGTTAATACACACACATACATACATTCACTGTCCTCCATGTGCATGCACAGAACACAACTGCCCATGCTCATGCACACACAGGGCAATTCATATGCAAACTCTCAGACCTGTGCTTACACGTATGCAACACTTTGGCTCATAATTACTTGTGAAGTTGATTTATAAGCAAATTTACAGATGCACACTCATGCTCAGACACGCATGCATAACAGAACAGTTGCTCGCACACCCAGAGGCAACATCAAAGTCATGCACTGGCACTATCACACAAACAGATGCACTTGCAAGCTCACATTCTCACACATGCATCAAGTCATGCCTTAGTTGGTATCTCCTATGTGTCTTGCATACGTATTCTGTAACAGATAATTTCAATCTTTTTCTTCCCATTCTGTTTAACGAGCAAATGTGGTAGCACATCAAGATCAGAAATAAATGTAGTGGAATGACTTCAGTCAACCTGAAATGTCAAATGACTCATTCACACCCTTTAAGCAGAGTTCCCTCTTTTGCCACATGCATTCTATTAAATAGGACTGGAGACCTTGTGGTTCCCTGGTACAGAGCAGCAATTGATTGCTTTCTCACAGATAGGGTAAATTAGCAATTATATTTGTATGTTATGCAGGGTGTTGCAGACAAGGCTTCAGTTAAACTGGCTGCTGTGATGGTTGCAACTAGGGTGACCAGATGTTCCGATTTTATAGGGACAGTCCTGATATTTGAGGCTTTTTCTTATATAGAAGCCTATTACCCCACCCCTCACCCCCGTCCCGATTTTTCACACTTGCTGTCTGGTTGCAACATCACTGCTCACACTGTGGGAATGGGAATCATGGAATCTCCAAGGCCTGTCTCTATTCAGAAGTTGACCTGGTTTAAGGATTTATTCATATATGGAATAATTCCAGATTAACTCCACATGTGAACACTCTTATTGCTCTTTAAATTCACACCCTCCCTTAATCCAAATTAACTTTCAAGTGTAGAAAAGTTGCCTAAATCATTGCCATGCCTTTAGTTAAATTGGTGTAATTTCTGTGTGTGGACAAACCACAAGAATAGTAACAAGAAAGTATCCACGTTTACCTTCTGGTCCAAAAGAAACTGGATTCCTTCTTGGAGCTGCACCTTTAATTTAAAAAAAAAATCCATTATTGTAATTAATTACTTTAAAAACCCTGCACAAGCATTCACACATGCAAAAACACTCTCACAGGGCCTGATTCTAATTTCAACATATGGCCCTGTTACACCACTCTGGCATTGTAACAGGGCCTATACTTAAATGAGAATCAAGCCTTCAGACAAAAAGCAGTGTTAATGGAACATTGAGGTTCAGAATGTAAATATAAAAGTCAGAACGTTCATAAATTAAGGTTCCCACAGCAACATTAATTCTACCACTTGGCACATATCTATAGTAGCAGTTTTAGTTGCTGTTTTTGCAGTTCAATGTGCTCTTTTGTATACAGAGTGGATCAAATTCAGGTCTCAGAACAAATGTCACTGAGAGCAGAAATTGGCCTCGTATGTACAATGTTGCCAAGTTAAGATTGCTATTATGAATCTTAATTACGGGATTTCCTATACTTGTGCTAAATTCTCATACTTAACTTTGTATTGACCTAGGTTGTGGTATTTAATCTTATTTTAACTGTTATGTTAAAGATTAAAGAAGAAAGAATAAAATATAAGGAAGAAAGGTGAAAGAAAAAGAGAAAACTATGCAGTAATAAACCACAGCTTGTACAATCCGAGGCAATTTAATGCAAAAATAGAACTACAGTTAAAAGGATAAAGGAATGCTACATTTCCTTATTGTGTTAACTGTGCTTCCACTTTGTGCAAAATTATATCTCCTGGCACAGACTGTAATTTTAGTTGCAGAGTTACAGGTTTTTCACAGTTGTCTATGTTGCCAAACTGAATCTTATGCAAAAGTAAGGAAAATAGCAGTTAACTTACTGATATTCTGCAGGCACGTGCCTGTCTATATTAGCAGACTTTCATACCACATTGTTCAGACATGTCATACTCATGCATTCCTATATATCATGCTGCAATAGTAATACAGAATTTGTCTTACCAGATCAGACAATTGGTTTATAATGCCCAGTATTGTATTTTGTGTATGGTCCAGTACCTGAAATTTCAAAGAGAAATGAAATTCTATTTTGTACCCAGTCAGTTGTAGATGGTGACAGGAATTCTTTCCTGACCCTCATGGAGATCAACTTATGCTTTGAAAACATAAGATATGATTATCCTTATTTTAGCATTCCTAATTACAGATATTATTATTAGTTATAAAATAGAGACACATGCACAGACACAGTAAGGATACCATCCATGCACACATACAGTGCATATGCAGGTACAGACATATAGGCCAGAATTTTCAAAAGAGCTCAGTTCTCAGTTAGCACCAGAATAAGTGGCTATATTTTCAGAAGAGTGTAGCATGCTGGGTGCTGAGCTCTTTATCCACGAGTGTCACAATGGCAAGTACTGGGTTTTGAACACTTTTGAAAATCTGTCCCATATTTAAGTGCCTAAAGAGGAGCTGAGCTCTTTTTACAATCTGGACCCAATTATATCTTTTGAAAATCTGGCCCATCGGGCCAGATCCTGAGTCCTACTCTGGCCATTACACCACACCAGCAGCAGAAAGAAGCTCTAATGCTAGTGCTTCTGGCCCCTGAAGGATTTCCTCTGGATTGGGGAATCCTTGTGAGGTGTAGCATCATCTTTGACACCCTCCATTCCAGCCTCTGATATAGGGAGCACAGGAAGAATGCTTCTATGTCCAGCTGGTCACTGGTTGCCAGAATGGCCATTTGGAGCTGCTGTTTTAGAGCAGCCCTGGGGCTGGTCTAAATGTACATCGGGCTCAAATGTACCCTGGAGACCTGATTTGTGCTAATTAGCCCCAGGATCTACAGCAGTGGTGGGCAACCTGCAGCCAGTGGGCCGCAGGCGGCCCGTCAGGGTAATCCGCTTGTGGGCCACCAGACTGTTTGTTTAAATTTGAATGGCCGCCTGCAACCCCCAGTGGCTCCTAGCTCTCGCCCACAGCTCTGCAAGGATGTGCTGGCCGCCACTTCCCACAGCTCCCATTGGCCGGGAACAGCGAACTGCAGCCACTAGGAGCTGCAGGTGGCTGTGCAAATGTAAACAAACTGTCTGGCAGCCTGCCAGCGGATTACCCTGATGGGCTGCATGCGGCCCACAGGTTGCCCACCACTGATCTACAGAGTGCAAAGATGACCAAATGACACCTTTCATCCCCATATTTCAGCCTTGTGCCACTAATTAGTCAGAGCAGAGGCTATGGCCCTTAGAGTATATACACATGTATGCAAACCCATATATGCATGACGTGTATACATATGAAAGCAATCTCAGTCATACATTCATGCACTTATACAGTATTTCCTTACACATATCCATATGTACTCAGAGATATAAGCAGTTTATTTCCACACTCGTGGCCTAAATGCACATTATCTAAGTGCAAACACCATACATACAAAAGCAGATTTACATGTGTGCACAGCACAAGTACAAATGCGTGCATGTTCACGCACTGAAGCACATGATTGGTATTCAGCTAACACTGACTTGCATTAAAATACATACCAGACTGTACTAAAACTTACAAAGAACCATGAGAAAAATTGAGAGGCAGTTAACTAGATAAGTTATGATGAGATCAAAAAGTCTCTAGAGTACAAGGAAGTGGCTACATTTTTCATACTTTATGTATTTATGTGGGGGGGGTTGTGAGGGGAGCATGTCAATTTTGCAGAAAGAGATCATTCAGAATATGTTCATATCAGACAGTATTCCTCAAGTGCCTGCTCTTTAGGAGCAGTTAGGAAAAATTCATTCTGTATGAAGTTGTTAATGGGGGCTGCATTAGCAACCCCTTATTGCTCTGTCTGATAGAGAGACAGCATGTTCGCTATTGCAATTCCAGAGCCCTGATCACTGCAGATTAGGGGCGCATTGTCTGGCTGACTTAATCAAGCGAGTTAAAATATATTTATCATGATTAAAGGGGAGAAGCAGGGTGGGGGGAGAGGAAAAGGAGGGAGACATCACCCTTCCCTTGCTTCATATGGAGGATCAACAAAGTCCAATGAATCACAGGGCACTCATCAGGGATAATTTCAATCCTGGAATGGAATGTTTGCTTGAGTGCGCTAGGCTTGGGTTCAGATCACCAAAGAAAACTGTCTCTCACTCGGTCTCTCTCCTGCAACAGCAGGGAAGAAAATCAGCCGCCCGTGCAGCACATTTTAATTTTGTACTGATGGCCATGCCGCCCCCGCTTAGCTTATCTGCAGTTCAAATTGATATCAGGGAATACTGCAGTGACAGGATCAACTATCATCATCATTGCTTGGATATATGAGTCTGTCACTGGTATTCGTTCATGTTTATCTTTCATTGCAAGCACGGGGCACCTTTTGCACCAGGCTCTGGGACTTTATAAGAGGCCTATAAAAGGGGGAGGGGGAGCTTCCTTCCTTGTCAGCAGCATCACCTCCCTCTCCCCTTCCACCCATATGCTGCAGATATTTTTCAGATTTTGAGCAGTAAATGAAAGAGTATTTTAAAACCACAGGGCCAGATCTTCAGCTGGTGTAACTCAGCATAGCCCATAGACTTCAACAGAGCTATACCAGCTAAAGATGAGGGTTTTGTTTTTTTTAAATCAGTCTTGCTTGAATGTAGAATATGAACCTGTAAAAAATCATTAGGATTTCTGAGCAGAGCTCATACTCCAGAAGCCACAGATCCCAGTGCTGCACCAAACTGACCTGTCTGGCATTGATATTGCATTGTAGTCAGCTAAATATTAGGACAGAGATGGAAGATTTGGTGGCATGGTGGGTATATTTCACTCATCATTTATGTAGAGAATTACCTGGCACAGCAGGCCTGGTTTGCCTGGGTGTGTTCAAAGCATTAGGCAGCACAGCTGGTGCAATATGTTTGCTTGTGTCTGGACTATTGGGCAGCAGTGGAGCAGTTCAGTAAAGCTAACAGAAATACAGAAGGATGGTTGGGAACTAAAGGATTAGGCAGAAATGGGCCAAAACATCCCATTCTTCATTGTAGTTAGTTGCTGCCTCCTTCTCAGCCGATCCCCACTCAGTTTTGCCACGGTTCCATTTTTGTGATCTCACAATTGCTGCCAAGGTGATAAACTGTGATGTCACGAGCACAGTTCAGTGTAATCACCTTACAAATGCAGGAGGAGGACATAACTGATTAGGATGGATAAAGTTGCTAGTGAAACACTAATAACTCAGTAATCTGCTGTGAGGGGAAGGGAACTGTAGAAGAGGAACTTGGCAGGATCAGAGGGATGGAGAAAAAATATTTAATCTTGTCATGTTTGTCAATGGTTTGAAATATGTTCCTCTACTTGCATTTAAAAATGAAAGTAGAGGAACATAGCAACATATTATTGCAAAACAAAAATCTCTCCAACATACCAACATGGTCTTCAATTGGAACGGCAGGGGATATCTTTTAAGGTGGATTAACAGAGGAGTGGGGAGGGGCCACACGACTGGGATAGCAAATTGCTCTGCAGTTAAGGATTAAGGCCTTGTCTACATACAAAAGTTGTACCATAGTTATACTGGTATAGTTAAAGTTCTACAACCTCCCCCCGTCCCTCCCTGTGGACGCAGTTATACTGATATAAAGGTGCTTATACAGTTATAGCTTGTTGCTGTATGGGGAGGGATGCCATGCCCCTAAGCAGCATAGTTATACCGGTAACAAAGTTTTGCATAGACAAGGCCTTTGTCATATCAGCCAAACTGAATGTGGATTATGAGTGTGATGGTGATAGGTCAGGATTAGAATAGCAGGGGATGTTTGTACTTAAGAATCATGGTGCATTGACTGAGCTGTTTGAGAATCCCAGGGCAGGAGTGCTTGCAGGTGAAGAATGAGGGGCAGGGCTTTTGGGGCAGAAAGAACCTAAATAGCAGGAGGTGCCACAGATCTGGACTGAAGTGTATCGGTGGAGTTCTGCAGAGGAGTTTGAATAACATCACCTGCTTTGTGCACTTGCTTCCCGACTGCAAAAATAATTGTCCATTAATGCAGACAGCCTAGCCAGCTGTCCTTAGAAAGGGAATTTGTGAAAGAGGATGAATTGCCATGTGTGGAACACATCTGACCATGGGATAGGAATAGATGGGAGATCAGGAGAAGCTGGACAGCTTCCATTCATATCTTTCAGCTCTATGTGGATTTGCAACCTGATGCTCCAGCATCCACTGCTGATGAAATTATTATTCACTACAATACATGACAGCTGAGAGTCCCCCTCATTTCCACTTACCTTCCTCCTCTATTTCTTGACAATGTTGCTTCCCTTAGGCTAGCTAATTAAGAATGGGGTGACCCAGTTTAGTTTAAAAGCACACAAAACCAGAACCGAACCAAACCAATTAACCTTTCCCAGAACATCAGATAAAACCATTTGGCGTTTGGAAAAAGTGTGTGTTTTTTTTGTGTTGTTTTGTTTTTTACACTGTCAAAGAAATTCTTTCATTTTTGTGGTTGCTCCTGTGCTCCCTGGCTAGAAAGTGCAACTGCTGAAATGCCATGAAAAAGCTTCTTCACCTGACATTGCCATCCCATCCAGAAGCAAAAGATGATGAAAATGTTGTGAGAAAGCCTGTTCTTATGAGATTGCCAGCCCCCTTTTTGCATACTCCGTTAGTTTGGATCATTCAGATAAGCACCCAAATAGACGCAAGTGTATCTGAATCATACTTTTTCAACATAGGATTTTCCAGGCAGAATCACTCCCATAATCCATCTACTCCAGTATCTTGTCTGTAACAGTGGCCAGCACCAGATGCTTCAGAGGAAGATGTAAGAACCCCACAGTAGGCAGCTGTGGGATAATCTGTCCCCCACAATAGGTATCATCCTGGTCTTCATTATTATTATTTATTTATTATTTATTTGTATTGTGATAGTGCCTGGGAGCCCTAGTTGTGGACCTCCATTGGGCAAGGCACTGTACAAATTAGCTAATCCCAGAAGAATGCAGTTTAATATCCCTTCCAAAAAAGGTTGTTATCCTTAATTATAACTCTGGATAGTCTTCATGACCTTTAAATGTTCATCTCTTTCTAGAATTAAGACCAGGACAGCTGTGATGGGAGTGTAATCCACATGGGGAAAGGTTTAACATCTCAGGACAAGGGTGGCAAACCCTAGAAGGGAGTCCTACAGTGAAGGAATCTCTAGGCGATCAGAGAGGAGAGCCGCTTCCTGTTTCTCTCCTAGTTGGGGGTTTGCCACCACAGGGTCATTTTCATTTTTATTTATGGTGTAGAAAGCCATTTTGTTTTATGGCTAAACAATAAAGACATTTGAAAGCAGGACGTTTCCATGGAGTGCTTTTGGCTGGCTAACAGGAAGCCAGACAATTTTTTACATTGCCAGACAGCCGGGGTGAGTGACTGCTCACAGCAGGTCTCTCAGTGGGGCGCTCATTAGGTCCTACAGCAGTAAACATGGAGCAAACAGCTCACTCAATTTTGTAACGTATTCTCTCAATATCTCAGGCCATTCACAGGGCAGGAAAATTAATGTAGCGTAGAACAGAGAATCTGGTGACAGCAGATATGGAGCCACCCCAAAAGGTGGCTTGAGCTATTGGTGATGCACAGAAATGGCCACTGGTGAGATCTTCCACAGTATGAGATGGATAGACTGGTGTGTACAGTGTGAATTCATGCACTCACCACTGCCCCCTACTTACCACATATATACCATTTCTCAGCGACCTGACCTAGGGGAGCTGCTCCTTTAGGTATGGAAGGCACTTGTACTGCCTCCACCCTGACTGGATGGAATACACTGGGCTTTCCTTAAATTATGAGAGGAAATGGTTGGTGCACATATATATATATATGACCAGAGTCCACTGCTGTATTTAATACGTTCGTGTGTTTATCCATTTGTAATGAACATGCCTTGTAATGGCTGGAGGCACTAGCACCTCTGACAGTTAATGGAGCTGTTCTATTAATGCACTGGTGAGAGGCTTGCATTTTTGGAACAGAATACTTCCCAGTGCCTCTTGGATGTGGTTTAGCTGGTGACAACAATGACTGTATATATCATCGCTCATTCTAGATAATTGGCCCCTACTCATACAGTTCACCTCTCATTCCTGTACAGATGTTGAATATTGGACTCCATCCCTACTCACCATCAAACCTACACGTGGGCAGGGGGGGCCAGGGTTCTGAGGTGTCACCAAGCGTCCTCCCTCTCAGCTGCTTGGCTGGCTGGTTCTTGCTCACATGCTCAAGGTTTAACTGATCGCCATCTGTGGGACCGGGAAGGAATTTCCCCCCAGGTCAGAGTGGCAGTGACCTTAGGGGATTTTCACCTTCCACTGCAGCATATGCATGCAGGTTATTTGCCAGGACTATCCAGGTATATCTCACTTAATCATTTCCCTGCTTTGAACGTTGGTGCACCTCACACTTTTAGTCTCTGTCTGTCGCATATAATAGACTAGTGTCCCATGGGTTGTAATATTTTGCTCTCTTTTTAGTTGTTGGGTTTAGTGCGTGGGTTGTGTTGGTGGCCTGTAATACAGGAGGTCAGACCAGATCAGTGATACGCAGACCTCAGTGGTTCAGGAGCCAAATTAGCAATCAACATTACCCAAAAGAGCCACAATAGTGTGAATTCATTGATTCATTTACTATATATTAGTCATGTTTAAACAGTATGACTGGAAATATTTTGTTTACATGTGTGTATATATGGAAATTTCCATGGAAATGTCCTGCTTTGAAATGTCTTTATTGTCTAGCCATAAAACAAAATGGCTTTCTACGCCATAAATAAAAATGAAAATGAGCCGCTGGTGGCAAACCCCCAACCAGGAAAGAGACCGGAAGTGGCTTTCCTCTCTGGTTGCCTAGAAATTCCTTCACTGTAGGGCTCCCTTCTAGGGTTTGCCACCCTTGTCCTGAGATGTTAACCCTTTCCCCATGTGGATTACACTCCCATCACAGCTGTCTTTGTCTTAATTCTAGAGAAAGATGAACATTTTATATCTATATATAGATATATAGTTCTCACAGCCAATAAGTTAATAACGTAGTGCAAATTGATAACTTAATTGGTTAATAACATAGTAAAAGCATCCTGATTGGTTAATAATTGTAACATCATGTGCTGCAAAGAGCCACAGGAGACACATTAAAGAGCCACTTGCGCCTCACGAGCCTATCTGAGTACCACTGGACTAGATGATCTAGTGGCCCCTTCTGACTTTAAACTCTAACACCTGCAGTACCCAAAAAGGCAGAGCAGAACATGCCATTTCACATCTATTGATGAAAGCTCACTGGTTGAAGCTGTGGGTCTGATTTATATAAGTCACAGGCTTGAAAATCAAGTTCTTGTTAAGGTCGTCATCTTTGAATATGCACCCTGCTTGCAGCCATGCCCCATGCCATCCTGTGATCTTATCACACTCAAAGAAACAAAGTTGAGCTTAGACAATAAATAAATGAAAGGCTGCCATAGAAAACCCCAGTGATGCAGACAGTGGTGTTGGTGTCTTAGTAGGTGGTGTTCTTCCTCTTGAGTCATTACTACCGAGCCAACACCCCAGCAAGGGGTTAGGAGGGATGTTCTATTATTGGAGTGCTGTATTTCAGATGAGATGAGATTTATCATCTGATCACTTGTGGTCATTAAATAGCCCCTGTCACGTTTCATAAATGTGGAGGTGTTAACCTCAGTGTCCTGGCTGAATTCCAACTCACGGAATTACGTATTCTACTGACCTAAAATATGTCCTGTGTAGTTTCAAATGGTGAAGTTAGTTTTCACTTCCCCTCCTTTCACTCTGGTGTAGCATTGATAGCACAGAATGGCACCTGCATTCTAGCCTAGATGCGTCGGCAGTTCAGTGATATAGGGGGTGATCACTAAAAGTAAAATTCATGTCTCTGCAGAAAGCCAGCACTAGATAATTCACATTCATGCCTTAAATAGGAGTTAAGCAAACATAAGAACGGCCACACTGGGTCAGACCAATGGTCCATCTAGACCAGTATCCTGTCTTCTGACAGCAGCCAATGTCAGATGCTTCAAAGGGAATGAACAAAACAGGGCAATCGTCAAGCGATCCATCCCCTGTCATCCAGTCCCAGCTTCTAGCAGTCAGAGGCCTTAGTGGGACTAAGTGATGCATAGGCCTTGAGCTTGCCCTCTGTACTGGGGTGCTTTTCACCCAATACAGTATATACAGAACTAAATTCTACCTTCAGTTCCACTATAGCTAATGGAGTTGTGCTGTGTAACTGAAGGCAGAATTTGGCTCACAGTCTGTAAAGTGTTCTGATATTCTTTAGGAGAAACGATGCCTGAGAAATGTAAGTAATGACAAAAAATCAAACATCTCTCTGTCACACAGGTGCTGATGGAAGTCATACACATGTAGAGAGGAAGAATGAGCACCTAGTGGAAAAGCTTTCTTAAAAAGCCCAGCACTGACCTGAACAGTATAAGGAAACTGGAGATACAAGAGAAGGGAGGAATAGGATCAGAGATGCAGGGCTGGTTTGAAGTTCAGGTGCTGAAAAATGCTAGGCTGGGGTTCAAAGACAGGATTATTGACCAGTGGTGCTTTAGTAGTTGGTGGGGAAAGAGTTTAAGGCCATGGTATTACTGCAGTATTGATTTATCAACCTAGCCAACACTGTGTATGGTATTTGAGTCACTCCTAAATCCAGCCTCTGGCAATGAAAAATACATTTAATCCATCTGTTAGATTGTTTGAAGAGGTGTCTGTGTCTCGGTCACTGCCCAAGGTTGGAATTGCTGGAATTGAAAATAAGTGAGAGATGAGCCTTTAACTATTTCCCCAACACTGCTCTTTTTTTTGGGGGGGGGGGTGTCAAATATCACATTTAACTGTCTGGTAGTTGAAAAATGAAATGAACACTCTCCCTCTTCATAGAAAGAATCACTGAGATCTCTAATTCCACCAAAGGGCAAAAATCAAAGCAAGGCTTTGTATTCCAAGAGGTTGTTATTTTTAACTGGTTGTCTCAAACTGAGATTATTGCTCTGCACTTAGGAGTTTGAGGATGTATTCACCCAGCCGTCTGTGATCTTTATAGAGCAGCCCAGTGCCTCAAGGTAAAACACTGAAAAACATGCCATACTAAAGCAACTCTTCTTTGGTTGCTGGCATTTTCTTTAGTTCTCTCCCCATCATTCTAAGTAATCATTATTAATAAGGGATGTTTACATGAAAACAAAATCTTTGTTTTTATGGTTCACACAATGGTTAACCTGCTGCTCCCCCATTTGAAATCCTAATCCTTCCCTTGTGACCTACCAATCATCGTCACCACATGCAGTTGTGTGACATTACAGGCTGAAGATAAGGAACTCCAGTGGCTAAAATAGCAAGGGGTGCTGCAGGTCAAGGCTGAGTTGCATCAGCAGAGCTATATTGGGGACCCAAGAATAGCATGGGACAATTGTAGCTCAGCATTGAGGTGCAATGGCAGATCGGTGTGAGGACCTGGGACTGGGAGAAGACAATTCTCAAAATCAATCTCTAGTGGCCCATCAATTTTAAACATGACATTTTTCTTGCATAATTCTGGGTCTTGTTCAGAGCTAACACTTTTTGGTCTTTCTCAGTTCTGCTAGGAAAGGCAGCTCAATAAACCAAAGTTTCTCTAGAGAAACTGTTGGTGAGGTTTTTTTCTGAGGTCCTCTGGATAATAGCTTTTCAGGTAAAGCAAGTTGGAGAGGCTTCCCTGCATGTACAGACTGGATGCCTTGGGGGAGTGAAGATGGGCTATGGAGCCTTTAACTTCCAGGTCATGATTGCAGTCCAGCCTGGGTTAGAAGTGCTGAAAGTTATTCCCATATGAGAGCTGTTTGGTGGCCTTTGTGAATGCACTTCCAGGATTATCTCCCACTGGTTTCTGGCAGGACATGTACCTACAGCATAAAAAACACTAATGCAATTGACACTAATTGAGCCACTTCCTACTCTGCCATTGTCAGCCTCAACAGGCAGGTCAGAGATTCAGTGAGCCATGGGAACTGAGCATTCCTTCGGATCCTAAAAATGGTCCTTCCAGCACACATCTCAGTTACGTTAGCAAGAAGTGTTGATTAAGTGAAGCTTGCACCGCTACTTCCCATGCTACAAAAAGGAAGACATTGGTTTGCAGGGCTGTTGATGATGGTGTGGTACCTTTCACCGCCACTAAACACATGTAAGATGTGAATTCAGGCTCCAGAAATCTGGACTCTTTGGACACATATGTCGTACTCATGTGGCTTAAGCAGTAAGTACTACAATTTGGTTTTCTGCCACCTCCAAAACAGGGAGTACAACCTCTCTGTACACAAGTTCTTTCCCTCACTGGAAATCAAGGCTATCCATGCCGAAAAGCTTTTGTAGAGGAAGGTCTTTCTTTCATTCTTCAACATGGTGCTCACCGTCCAAAAAATATTTTTTTTATTGCAAGATCCTCCTTTTGCCCATAGTTTGTATCTCTCACAAGGATAATAAGTAGGCCACTGTGGAGGATGAGTGCCTTCTTCTGCTGGGTGAGGGGGTCACTTAGATCACAGGAAATAGCTAACAGAACAACGCTGTTATCACTTACACTGAGGTCATCCCTATTATCAGCCTGCTTGGGCGTGGGGTGCACATTTTCATCATTAGATTACTGGGTGGAGACAATGGCCTGTGGGAAACAGCGTCTGCATTGGTATGTTTTGAGCCCTCTTGATGAAAAGTGAACCACTAATCTGAGTCTAGTTCCGATGCCCATCAGCCATGCCAGTTAATGGGGTCGTTCCCAGCTGGTAACTTCATTCAATCCAATCCCAGGTTTGTGGGCCTGAACAAGAGATCACAACATTGGATACAGGCCAACTGCCCCTAGCAAGGGACTATTACAGATTAACCAACAGGCTGGTCTCAATGCCCCTGGTACCCTGAGTGAGAAGAGATCACAGACCCAATGAATAGTTCACAGTGTCCTTAGCAAGAGGAGATAACAACCCCTTCTATGAGCTAGATTCAGAGGTCACAGCTCCTCCCAGACATTGACATTCTTGTATCTCTTCCAGCTTTGCCCTGTCACCAAGGCACAGTATGGAAGCCATTGCCAAATTTGATTTCAATGCTTCTGGAGAGGATGAACTGAGTTTCCGTACCGGGGACATACTGAAGGTAAGTGCAGCCCGAGGCCCCACCAAAGGAGGACTGTTTAACCATGTGACTCCTGCCAGATCCCACTGCACCAGTGCCTCCCTCCATAACATAGGCCATCCTAGATGTTCACAGACTGTGGTCCAGACGCCACCAGTGTTCCATGGAGGGCTTGCTGGAGGTTCATGGAGAACTGGCTAGTCACAAAAGTGCTTGCCATCCTCCTTATTTCCAGCTGTTAGATTGCTATAGAAGATAGCTAAAGTACATTAAGTGACTTTCCTGATATTACTGTTCCCTGTAAGGAATTACTGTAGTTGCCACAGGAATATTATATAATTGCTAATGGAGGGGAAGTATCCACAAGATAATTTCTGTATGAAAAAGTATGAAAAATTTTGAGAACCCCTGAGCTAGTATAATACACAACACCCCCTTCAGAAATGAAGCAGAGGAATGCTAAAGTGGGCGTAGGAAGAAGTGGCGGGCAAACGTCAGACATATAGAATGTGAAACACAGACTATTTAATCTTTGTGTTTGTTATGGTAGCATTGTTCTTGTTATCAGCAATGAGGATGAATCCACACAACCCCACATAATATTTTTTACCCAATTCCTCAAACACCGTGCATCATAGTCACTCTGCTACAGCTGAAGATGCCTGAACATGACTCACATTGGCACTCACTGACTATACCCCTTAATTGGCCAAAAGGAGCATTGTTGAGTAGTGATGGCCCGGGCACCTCTGTCTTGGCCTGCAGCACCCCCTGTTATTCCAATTAATTATAATCTATTAATTCTCCCCTCTCAGCTTTCCTTAGGTCCAGACCCCCATTTTTCACTTTGCCTTCCCTGCCATCTGTTCTTGGGACTTAGGGCAAACGTGGCTCAATCCAAAACCCACCAAGGTCAAAGAGGGGGATCTTTCCAGAGTGACATGAGAGGTGCTATAGACAAATCTCCCTTCTCCCCTTTAGGATGGTTGAGCACTTGCCCTACACAGCACTCCTGATGCTTCCTCAGCTCAAACTCCATCCCCATGCCCCTGCTGCCTCCACCTCTGCACTGGATTGACTGTATCTCTCTACTCACTTGTTTATTGTCACTGGGAATTCACAACGAGAAAGCCAGAGATTGTCCTCTCATTAGATCTTTCTCTTTGAGGCAACGCAACTCCCTAGCAGCCAAGAGTCAAAGATCTGACAAATCGAAGCGTGTAGCATCACACGCACGCACACACACACATACCCCCAGCTGTCCTCCCCACCCGGTCTGTGCAACCTGCTGGGGTTTATCTTAACTGATTGGTGAAGGAGATAAGGTAAACAGTATTGATGTGGAGATTAAATGAACAGGAAGTGTGAGGCCCTGAACCAGCAGCGACAGGAGGAAATCCACCTCCCCACCACCCCTGCTGTGAGAGACTGACATGTGGACCTGCCCTCTGCGCACCAAGAGCTTGCAGGTGGATTGTGCCGGAAACCTAGCTGCTAGCAGAGCAGTCTCCAGGCAGGAGGGGAGCAAGGGTTGCTGATATGCAGTCATACCCTGTATAGGCGTTGAGCCATAGAGGAGAAAAGAGATGTATCCCATTTGGTTTGCTTGGAGCAGCACAAAGGGACCTCAAATCAGGCCCACTGTACAGGGAAATCAACTGGCAATAAGCCGGGGAATCCTCAGCTACCCATTCAGAAATCCTCAGCTGCCCATTCCCTCCCTGTGCATGGGTGTAAGGGCTACAAGGTAGTGGAGAATGAGTCCCAGAGGTCTCAGTACTGTCAACCCCGAATGTTTCAAAACAAGGCTTAACCCTTTTTTTTAATTACATATTTTGGAAACTTTTTTTTTTTTTTTTTTTTTTCTTTTTTTTTCTTTCGCCCCTCGGGGTCATCTTT